TTTGACTCAGTTTCCTCATCTGTAACACAAGGATAATAATAGCACCTACCTCCCAAGGTGGTTAGGATGATCAAATGAGATATTTATAAATGCCCTTAGCACAATGGCTGGTACATAATAGGTGTTGTATAGATGCTTTCTATTGTTATCATCGTCATTATTATTATCTGATCTGTCATTTTTATGGGCACCAGTCAGCAGTCTTAAGGGTATAGACTGGACTAAGGGTTCTATGTTTATCTCTACTACCTTTCAGCCATGTGATTTTGGGTACAAGTCACCAGGCCTCACTCCCCCCCCCCCAGGTTAAAATGATTGGGGGTGGGGAGTGGAGGTGAACAAGATGACATCTAAGGTAGCTCTGCCAGTCAAGTTATGTTTGGTTGAGTCCATTTATCTCTTTCTCCTTTTTGGGGGGGGTGGGTTTGTTTTTTTGCAAGGCAATCGGGGTTAAGTGACTTGCCCAGGGTCATACAGCTAGGGAATATTATGTGTCTGAGGCCATAGTTGAACTGAGGTCCTCCTGACTTCTGGGCCAGTGCTCTATCCAGCTGCCCCTGTCCATTTACCTCTTGAGCTAAATTTGAGGGCTTACAAGGAACCAGATTCCTTATATTCTTCATTCCTGGAAGTGGTTTCAGGCAGACTGGATTAAGAATTCTTGTGTGAGATGGGAGACAAATTTAAATGAATTTTTTAATGGCTTCTTTCATGAGCTCTAAGTTCCTTTCTAGCCCTGAATCCCATGATCCTGTGACCTCTTAAGAGGTCTGAGCATCTGAGGATCTATTTCTTTTCAGATATTCAGTAACGTTGAGTGCCCGAGACCAGTTACACTTCAGAAACTGGTGGTCTCTGTGGATGTAGCCACCAACACAAGGGGAGGGAGCCCCAATGTCACCTTCAGACACACTGCCAAGTTACCAACATCCATTGATTGTCCTGTTAACTTTAAAGGGTCCTATATAAATGTGTGACATGTGGCTATTATTTTCAGTTCTACTGTGTCCTAACCTTGGACTGACTTGGGAATCATGGTCACTCTCCTCTTCCTAGAAGTAATTTCCTCTTTTTAAAGTGGACCTGGAATTTCACAGATATTAGGAGCTTCATCAATGACATGACTGGTCACTGTCTTCCCTCCAAGAGTTAGCAATTTACCACCCCTCTTTTTTTCTTTTGGACAGGACTCCAAATACTGAAGATGCTACCAATATTTAATTCTAGTGCCTTTCTCTGTTCAGGACCTCCAATTTATCCCATTATAGCTTGTTTGCAGATAGCTGTTTACATCTTGTCTCCTCCATCAGCCTGTGTGAGCGAAGGTCTCAAGGGCAAGGGACTGTCTTTTGCCTTCTTTATATCCCTAGCTTTTAACACAATATCCGGCAAGTAATAGATGCTTAATAAATGTTAATTGACTGACTGACATAGTTCTGATCACTGTCCACCCTCGAGGAGTAAGCAATTTATGCTCCTCCCTTTTTAGGCAAAATCACATGTATTGGGTATTGGGAAATCGATCAAAACATACATTGACTGCTTGTCCTCCTTCAAGGAATGAGCAATTTACCTCTCTTTTTTCCTTCCTTCCTTCCTTCCTTCCTTCCTTCCTTCCTT